AAAGCTGGCACAACTGGGGGCCGAAGTCACACCGGCCAGCCGGTTTGGTACAGCTGATGCGGCCGCGATGGCGGTTGCCGACGGGAACTGGCGAGCGCGTGTTGAATGCCGCGCACGCATTGCCAGACGAGTCGAGAATGGCCTGGTACACCGCAGGAAGCCAGAGGTGGCCGGAGGAAGCCCGACGGTCTGACAGGACACCCCACAGCATTTTTGTGAAAAAGCATTGGGTTTTTGATGTTTTTATGTTGAAATGCTTGCAAACACACGGTGTTCGGTAGGATTCTGACATGAACGCGCGAGTGTGCTCTTTGTGGTATTTTTTGCACAGGATTCGCGGCCTGGGTGCATGACAGAGCATCGCGAGTGCACCGCGCGATGACGTGAAATCGCTGGATTTGACAGAATTCTTAAGATTCCTATGGTTTTCCTATGATTTCAGCAAGAGAGCCCGGGCGGGAAATTTGTACAATTTTTGTGAAAAAAAGCATTGGGTTTTTGATGTTTTTATGTTGAAATGCTTGCAAACACACGGTGTTCGGTAGGATTCTGACATGAACGCGCGCGTGTGCTCTTTGTTGTATTTTTTGCAATGGATTATCGCCGTGGACGACAGGACGTCCATGTCGAGAGGAAAAAATAAGAAAAATGTTGATTTTGTATTGTTTTTTACAGGTTAGGATGGGACCACCCGGATGCGGCCCCTAATGGCCGGCCTGAGGGGGGAGTAGGAGTATATTCTAATAAGGAATATAAATAGGAGTAGGATAGGAGTCAAGCTAGCCAGCTCGAGCGAGTCAAGCATGGCATGCCCAGTCCCACCCGCCCTCCCACAACATAAGAAGCAAAGCTGGCACAACTGGGGGCCGAAGTCACACCGGCCAGCCGGTTTGGTACAGCTGATGCGGCCGCGATGGCGGTTGCCGACGGGAACTGGCGAGCGCGTGTTGAATGCCGCGCACGCATTGCCAGACGAGTCGAGAATGGCCCGGTACACCGCAGGAAGCCAGAGGTGGCCGGAGGAAGCCCGACGGTCTGACAGGACACCCCAAAGCATTTTTGTGAAAAAAAGCATTGGGTTTTTGATGTTTTTATGTTGAAATGCTTGCAAACACACGGTGTTCGGTAGGATTCTGACATGAACGCGCGAGTGTGCTCTTTGTGGCATTTTTTGCACAGGATTCGCGGCCTGGGTCCATGACAGAGCATCGCGAGTGCACCGCGCGATGACGTGACATCGCTGGATTTGACCGAATTCTTAAGATTCCTATGGTTTTCCGATGATTTCAGCAAGAGAGCCCGGGCGGGAAATTTGTAAAATTTTTGTGAAAAAGCATTGGGTTTTTGGATGTTTGTATGTTGAAATGCTTGCAAACACACGGTGTTCGGTAGGATTCTGACATGAACACGCGCGCGTGTGCTCTTTGTGGTATTTTCTGCAATGGATTATCGCCGTGGACGACAGGACGTCCATGTCGAGAGGAAAAAATAAGAAAAATGTTGATTTTGTATTGTTTTTTACGGGTTAGGATGGGACCCCCCGGATGCGGCCCCTAATGGCCGGCCTGAGGGGGGAGTAGGAGTATATTCTAATAAGGAATAAGGATAGGAGTGGGGGTAGTACTTGTTAGTAGTAGTAGTAGTAGTAGTAGTAGTAGTAGTAGTAGTAGTAGTAGTAGTAGTAGTCGTAGTAGTCGTAGTAGTCGTAGTAGTCGTAGTAGTCGTAGTAGTAGTAGTAGTAGTAGTAGTAGTAGTAGTAGTAGTAGTAGTAGTACTAGTAGTACTAGTAGTACTAGTAGTACTAGTAGTACTAGTAGTAGAAGTCGTGATAGCAGTATTAGCACTAGTAGTCGTCGTAGTAGTAGTAGTAGTGGCAGTAGTAGTAGTAGCAGTAGCAGTAGCAGTAGTAGTAGTAGTAGTAGTAGTAGTAGTAGTAGTAGTAATAGTAGAAGTAGTAGTTGTTGTAGTAGTAGTAGCAGCAGTAGTAATAGTTGTAGCAGTTGTGGTAGTAGTGTTAGTAGTATCAGTAGTGGTACGAATATTGGGTGTCGTAGCAGTCGTAGTGGTAGAAGTAGTAGTAGTAGTAGTAGTAGTAGTAGTAGCAGCAGTAGTAGTAGTAGTAGTAGTAGTAGTAGTAGCAGTAGTAGTAGTAGTAGTAGACGCAGTAGTAGTTGTTGTACTAGTAGTAGTAGTAGTAGTAGTAGTAGTAGTAGTAGTCGTAGTCGTAGTAGTAGTAGTATTCGTAATATTAGTATTAGTAGTAGTAGTGGTAGTAGTCGTAGTAGAAGTAGTAGTGGTAGTAGTAGTAGTAGTAGTAGTAGTAGTAGTAGTAGTAGTAGTAGTAGTAGTAGTAGTAGTAGTAGTAGTAGTAGTAGTAGTAGTAGTAGTAGTCGTAGTAGTAGTAGTAGTAGTAGTAGTAGTAGTAGTAGTAGTAGTAGTAGTAGTAGTAGTAGTAGTAGTAGTAGTAGTAGTAGTAGTAGTAGTAGTAGTAGTAGTAGTAGTAGTAGTAGTAGTAGTAGTAGTAGTAGTAGTAGTAGTAGTAGTAGTAGTAGTAGTAGTAGTAGTAGTAGTAGTAGTAGTAGTCGGAGTAGGAGTAGTAGTAGTAGTAGCTACTAGTAGTAGTAGATATTAGTAGTAGTAGTAGTAGTAGTAGTAGTAGTAGTAGTAGTAGTAGTGGTAGCAGCAGCAGCAGCAGCAGCAGAAGTAGGGGTAGTCGTCGTCTTTGTAGTAGCAGTCGTAGTCGTAGTAGTCGTAGTAGTCGTAGTAGCTGTAACTCTTAGGAAGACCCGTAGCGCAGAAAGTCGGACATGATGACGGGACGACGGCGGCGATGACGATTGCGGCGGATGCGGAGAATACTTAGTCGTTATTCTGGGGTTTCTCAGTCCTTCAATTCGTCCCCGGCGACAGATGCTTATTTTCCCAGTGCGGGGGGGTATTATGGACCCTTTGGAGTTATGTGGGCGCTGAGGATTTCACTGGCGTTTCTGGGTTTTGGCCCGCTGCCAGCCCGTGGGTCCCTGGTGGACACCCCGTTCGTCGGCTGGCGATTCGAAAAGTTCGGCATGCATCAGGCCGTGAGCGCCTTGTGGGTGTCTCGTGCGTTGGTTGGCAATTCCGGATGTTCGGCTTATGCCCGCCCGTGGTTGCCTCGTGGGCGCCTCCCACGCTGGTTGGTTGGAGCTTCCAGACGCACACACAGATTGCAGTTCAAACTTCGCACCACGCAGCTTGCAGCCCATATGTTGCATTACATGTATCGCACCACATGGAATACTCCATCACCAGTGCACCAGCATGGATTGCACAAGACGGCATGCATCACATAGCTTGCGTCGGGTCTATCATGCTTATTACACCGAATGCTTACCAGTGTGGGCCCCATGGAGTTAGCTGTTGCACACTGGGCGTATGAACTATGTAGTGCGCTCTACGCGGTCCAAACGATGTGCGCTGTGAGCAACGTGGTGCAAGCGATGTGTGGCGCAAGCTGCCTGGGGCCAGCAGTGCTGTGGAACCAATCTTGTCACAGCTTGTGTGTGGTGAGGGCGTTGTGGTGCAAGCTATGTGGCGCAAGCGGTGTTGGACAGCGATGCTGTGCAACTGTTGCGGTGTGAGCAAAGCTGTGTAAGCCGTGTGCTGCACGCAGCGTGCTGCAGGCAGCGGGGCGCCCACGAGGCGCCCACGGCCGCCCACCAGACGAATTTTCCGCCGCACCCAGGCCAACATCCCTGAACGAAAACACTGCTTGGTAAATTCGAGGCCCCCCCAACACCACAGAGGCAGGGGGCATCCGTTCCCACCCGCGCACTGTGTTCCATTTACCCCGCGTCCAGTTTGACCTTGCCTGCCAGCCCGCTAGGCACGTCAAGCGGTACAGCGTGGTGCACAAGTGCTGATGTAACGAGTGCGTGATGTCACAATCCCCTTCAGATCATACAGGCATGCCTGCGCCCGCACGTGCTGCCGCCAAATATGTCAACAAACCGTCTGTTGTCAACGAATGTTTCTCGCTCGATTCAAATGACAGGCTTCTGTGCGCGCACTCACTGAACTTCGACCAAGACCATAATTATTGTGCGACGGTGTCGGGCCGCACGCGCGCGCATGGCGAACACATCCCACGGTTGCTGCGCACCCGCCAAGGGCGGTCAACTAGCACCATGCGGGCCACACGCGCTTGTCTCCACGAGCGCACGTTGAACTCCGCCCGGAACCACGTGTTTCCCTACCGTAGCAATCACAGACGTCGTCATTCTTCCTTCCTTGCAGAGGATTACAGGTATTCCCGATTGCGGCGCGCACTTCACCATCATCCTCACCAGCACCATCGATAGCATTACCGCCAGCGTCATCATTGCCATCGTCATCTTCATCATCATCATCGTTATCAGCATCACCATAACAATCTCCATCTCCAATGCCGTCGTCATCATCACCACCATCGTCATCGCCAAAGTCGTCGCTCTCGTCACCACCGTCATCACCACCACTATAATTGTCGTCGCCGTCCATGTCATCGTCGTCACCATGCCCCGCTCGAGTCATGGATTTGCAACACCAGTGCCCGCCCGTCACTGCACCATGTGCGATTCGCGAGAAAGTCCCGATCAGTAATTGCATCACGGCCCGCGTGGGTTCTGACGACGTGTTGTGGGTGAACGTGTGGGATGTTTACACGGGCAGCGGACTAGACGTCGTCAAGTTCGTCGCGCTTAACGGCGCCACGTACTTTGGTCCACAAAGCCTGCACCACTAGCTGGCACCACAGAGACAGCGTTCCATGCATTCCACTACATAGGCCGCCCCCCACATACGTTGCACACCGCAGGTTGCGCCACCGACGTGCCGCACCGCGAATCCATCACACCGAAAGGGCAGGAGCGCACTGTTGCCTGGCATCGCTCGGACGTGTGCATTTTTCCTTCGGCGAGGACCATCGAGGAGCATCGGAAATGGACGTCCGAGCGATGGCCAGGTTGGGGATCCACGCTGGCGAGCACGTTCTCTCAAGATGCTGGAGGTCTGGGCTCGCACGCCCGTGCCTGGGCCGTGTCCCGCTCTTCCGCGGAGCCCTGCAGAGGCGCCCCCTGTGTCGGCGCGCCCCGCGCACCCCCTTCGGCAGCGCGCCGTGGCGGGGTGCAGCTGCACGACGAATTCGACCGCGGCGGCGGGGGTCGGGCGCCGCGCCGTGCCCTCGCGGACCTCCGCCGACCAGGCCGAGAGGCACGGAGAGAGGCAGAGAGAGCGGCCGGCGCGGCGTTGGCTTGAAGTTCTGTTCGGGGGTGGGGCGGGCGGCTTTCTCCTCCCTCGCGTTCTCCTCTCTGGATCCTCCCTTCTCGTCCTCCCAATCCTCCCTTCTGCCTCCCTCCTCCACCCCTCCGTGTCCTCCCTGCCGTCCTCCTCGCCTCTCCTCGACTTCCTGCTCCACGTCGCGGGGCGTTCAGACGCCTGTGCGCAGCCGAGCGGACGACCGAGTGGGGTCGGGCAGGGGCGAGAGGGTGGGCTGGGCATGTTCCCTCTTGGAGTGGCGGGGGGGCGGCAGGGGCACGTGATGAGGGCGAGGCGGCGGCCGCGCCGCGGCGGTGCCTGAGGCACCACGCGGACGCCAGAGCTTCGCGCGCGAGGGGCGTCCTGCGCAGCTCCTGCCCCCCCCTCGCCCCCTTCCTCCCCTCCAATCCCCTCCTCCCCATCCCTCCCCCCCTCCCTCCTCAATCCTCGCAGGAGAAGGGGCAGGAAGACCTGCCCGACCTTGATTTGGACGGCGAGCTTGTTTCCTTGGGGGGCCCTGTCGCTGGCCCACGGTGCGGTTGGCTCAAGGCCGCACCTTGGAGGCAAAGAGGTCCTCTTCGAAGACCCCTCCTTGGGGGGTTTTGCTGGACCGTCGGACCTCCCCCTCCTCTCTCTCTCTCTCTCCCTTAGTGGCGTGCGATCCTCCATTCCTCCATCTCCACGGGGAGCCCCTGCATGTGTCTGCCTGCCACTGTTGGCCAGCGTCGCCACGGTCGGAGGAGCGGAGGAGGAGGAGGAGGAGGAGGAGGAGGAGGAGGAGGAGGAGGAGGAGGAGGAAGAGCAGGAGGAGGAGAGGAGGAGGAGGAGGAGCGAGGAGGAAGAAGAGCAGGAGGAGGAGGGAGGAGAGGAGGAGGAGGAGGAGGAGGAGGAGAGGAAGAGCAGGAGGAGGAGGGAGGAGGAGGAGGAGGAGGAGGAGGAGGAGGAGGAGGAGGAGGAGGGAGGAGATGAGGAGGAGGAGAGGAGGGGGGGAGGAGGCGGAGGAGGAGGAGGGCGGAGGAGGAGGAGGAGGAGGAGGAGGACGCGGAGGACGAGGTGGACGCCACCGCGAGCTTCGACGGCCCCGCCGAGGGCAGGGCCGTGGCGCCATCGGGCCTTCGGTCGAGGGCCTGGCACACAGGGCCAGGCGGTTTGATCCTCTTCCAGCGCGGGCTCTTCCGCAGTCATGCCTGCAGCCTTCGGCCTCCCTCCTCCTCCTCCGCCTCCTCCTCCTCCGCATCCTCCTCCTCCTCCTCCTCCTGCTCCTCCTCCCTTCCTCCTACTTCCTCCTCCTCCTCCTCCTTCCTCCTCCTCCTCCGTCCTCCTCCTCTCCTCCTCCTCCTCCTCCTCTTCCCTCCTCTCCTCCTCCTCCTCCTCCTCCTCCTCCTCCTCCTCCTCCGCCCGACGACGACCACGGTGTCTGCGATCGTGACGACGACGTCGCTGCTGCGCGCCAGGAGCCGCGCCGGCGCAGCCGCAGCGGGAGCGGAAGCCGTAGGAGGCGGGCCGCTGCCCGGGCGGGTCGTCGCTTGTCGCGGTTGGTCTGGGCGCCTCGAGCGGGCTTGCGGGCGCCTCTGGGCCTCGTGCTCGTGCTCCCGAAGGGACAAGGGAGGTGGAGGCGGTGGAGGGGGAGGTGGAGGAGGGAGGAGGGAGAAGGTGGAGGAGGGAGGAGGAGGAGGTGGAGAGGAGGTGGAGGAGGGAGGGGAGGAGGTGGAGGAGGTTGGGGAGCTCATCTCCTCCTCCTCCTCCTCCTGTCCTCCCCCCTCCTCCTCCCCTCCTCCTCCTCCTCCTCCTCCTCCTCCGCTCATCTCCTCCTCCACTCCTCCTTACCTCCTGATCCTCATCCTCCTCCTCCTCCTCCTGCTCCTCCTCCTCCTCCTCCTCCTCCTCCTCCCCCTCGCTTCTTCCTCCTCTCCTCCTCCTCCTCCTCCTCCTCCTCCTCCTGATCCTCCTCCTCCCTCCTCCTTCCTTCCTCCGCCTCCAGGCTTCTTCTCCTCCTCCTCCTCCTCCTCCTCCTCCTCCTCCTCCTCCTCCTCCTCCACGCCTCCTCGCTCCGCTCGCTGCCTCCTCTGCTCATCCTCCGTTCTCCCTCCCCATCCTCCCCGTGTTTCACGTCACACCCACGTCGGACGAAGCCATCGCAGCGCGCCGTCGCGGGCGCCCTCGGGCCCTGTGCCCGTGCTCCCAGAACGAGGCGGCAAGCCCGGGCTGCCTCGAGGCATGCTATTTTCAACCTTTCGCGGTCCTTACTGGGCCTCGAGACCATCCACAAGACGACGAAGGATGAAAAACCGGTAGCGGGGACGGGGTCGAGACTTTTTGGGCGGGGTCCACGTCGCGTAGAGCATATGACGTCGAGGGTCTGGAAGGGGGGCTCAGGAGTGGCGGAACGTATCCAAATCCGCGCCCTCCCGGTCCGGATGCCGGTGCGCAAACCCGCAGATTATTTTGGGGTTCATTGTCAGGCCATTGACCAAACAAGTGGGCATTTTTTCTTTGCGCTCCTTCTCTGAAGTCGGAGACAGAATTCCCTTGGTTCCTCATGGGGACTCTCTTTGTGGGCCCTCGGGAGTCTTCTCTGCCCCCTCAGGCGCGCCTTGGGAGCCCTGCAGGGCCCTCCAGGGCCATCTGGGTCCTGCGAGGCCCAACCGAAGCTCAACATTGGAAGACCCGACTACTGCGGGGTTCCGTCGCTTTACGGTTGCACCACCGTGCTTGCTTCCGTGTTCTTGTGTCTGCTCCCCCACCCCCCTTCCGAAACAACGCTGGCAAACAATAACAAACAGCTTGACGCTTCGCGTGCCCCCACCAGGCTTGCAGCTTAGGCAGCTTAGGCAGCTTAGGTTCGGCCGGTCCCCGTGCTCTAGGCAATTAGGCTCGCGCGTAGCCCGCCCGACCTCTGACGCTGCTGGTGCGCTCGCCTGCGGCCACGACGAAAAAAGTATCCCCACCAGGTCCGTAGCGCAGTCTGGCTCAAGCCTACTCCAGCGCCGCGGGGCGCCATGCGGGCCGCGGCGGCGGCCGCCGCCGCGGCCACCGCCGGGGCGCCTCTGGCCGCGGCGGCGGGCGGCGGCGAGGCGGCCGGCGCGGCGTGGCGCGGCGGCGGGGCGGCTGGCGAAGCGGAGGCCGACCCCCTCGGCCTCCGCGCCGTCCACGACGGATGTACCGTTGCCGCCCTACCTCAGAGCGTGAATTACCTACCCCGCTTTCGCTTCCAGGAAAAACCAAGTCATACTACGCGCCTCCTCATCAAGCGCCCTGACCAGTACAGGCCGTAGTTTGGCATCGCTTGGTATCTCTTGGAAGCGAGGGTGGTCAAAAGCGAGGTAGGTTTGTTTTCCCCCTACTACCGCTCGTTCTACCTGAGGCTGCGCAAGAACGCCGGGACGGAGGTGCTCAAGGGGCGGCCGATGCCCGCCAGCTGCGAGGGCATCCTGCGCGGAGGCGGCGGCGGCAGGGGCGGCGCCCTGCTCGCCGACGGGCGCAGCGGCAACGAGACGGAGCGGCTCTATGGGGGATCGCGGGCGCCAGCGGGCTGTGCGACGCTTTTGGGGGCGTGGGAGACCTCTACATCGTCCAGACAAGGTGGGCAGCGCACGCTCAACTTCACCATCGTGCGCAGTCCCTGGGTGCGGGCGCTGTCGCTCTACAGCCACTCCAGGAAGCAGAGCCACGGCGGCTGCGACGACGCGTGCGCCGCGCTGTTTCCACACTTGGCCCGCATCACCCGGCGGCCAGAGTTGGTCGGATTCATCGAGAACTTGGACGCTTACGCGTGGGACTCCCGCACCCTGATGCACCACGGCGACGAGCAGGTGGCGCTCCTCTTCCGAGCTGGGGCGCTCGGACAGTTCAGCTTCGTGGGCAGGGTGGAGACCCTGCGGCGCGACCTTCTCGTGGTGCGGGACGCGCCCGGCGCCGCGGCTCCGCGAGAGGGGCAGCCAGGAGGCTCCCCAAGCCGAAACACCACCGCCGCAACCGCGCTGGCAGCGACATCAAGGTGGAGGCGAGGCGCCGGGCGGCGACCGCCGCCGCGAGATGTCGGTGGCGCTGGAGCGCAACCTCACGCGCGAGAAGGGCGGGCAGTTGGCCTGACCGCTGCTCAGCGAGACGCTGGTGAAGGGCGGGCAGTGGCAGTCGCCCTAGGCACTGCTCAGCGAAATGTCGGTGGCGCTGGGGCCCAACCTCACGTGCGAGAAGGACGGGCAGTGGCAGCCGGCCCAGGCACTGCTCAGCGAAAAGTGCGGGCAGCGGATGCCGGCCTGACCGCTGCTCAGCGAAATTTTGGTGGCGACGCTGGTGGCCAGCCTCACGTGCGAGCGAGGCCTTCTCGGCGAGCCAGAGTGCGCGGCTGGCGGGGAGGCGCGGCGCAAGCGGCGCCGCATCGTGTCGGAGGGGGGGAGGGGAAATAAGAAACAATTTTGCTGCGGCTGTCAGCTGCACCCTACCAGTTGACCAGCACACTGCAGGCGGAGTGACCCCCCTCCGTCCTGCGGCTGACGTTTGGACTGGTGCTGAGCAGCGGGGTGACTCAGGTTGCTCATTGCCAGCGCAGAATATGTCTCTGGCGCACCCTTTCCCAATTTTTCTGTGGCTGTCAGCTGCACCCACCAGAGCACGCGGCATTCTCCGGCACTCCCACAGTTTCCCCACTTCGCCTTCGGGACAGAGCGGCGCTGGACACCCCTCCGGCCGCTCCCAGGCCACGCGCCAATTTATTTCCATGGGCTGCTGGTCTCAAATGACATGGCCCCCCTCCGCACAGCACTGGCTTCGGATGTGCCCGCGCTGGTTCACATCGTGCTGTTGGCCTCAGGCGGTGCCCCCCCCGCCCTAAGTCGCATGCGCGGCAGGCGCAGACGACCAGTGCGCCTTGGCTAACGCGGCGGTCTACTACAAGTTCCGGCTCCTCGGCAAGGGGCTTCGTCCTCGGCGTGGCCTGAGCCTGAGCTGTGGCGCGTTTCCCCCTCTCCGCCGTGCTT